AGTTAGCCGCAACTATAGAGAAACAGAAGTAAACCCGTAGCAATGTTTTTTTTCTCCACTTTCTCACCATTACCCAAAGTCATCATTGCTAATGACGACCATACTATATCTCCATGTCTTTACCTCCTTGTAATCAAACCTTCTGCTTCTTCTACCATTAAAAAAAATTCTTGAATATGTAAATACATTTAAAAAAAATAGTTAAAACAGTTACATTATAGTTTTATAGTTTGCTGGATAATAACAAATTTTATTCATGACTAAATATATTCAGCGAATAAATTCCCATTATAAAAACAGATGTGCTGCAAATGCCTTCAGCTAGAGTTCAGAGGAACTGAAACAAGGAGAAGGAGAAAAGGACTCTTACATTCTCTGAACATTATGTGCGATGGACTATATAGATCTAGACTGCATAACTTAGGCTTCTACTAGACTTTTGCAAAGTGAAATAAATTTGGTTCATCCAAATTGATTTGTCAGGGGTGTAGCGGACTCCGGGTAACCCAACTGGTTCCCTCTGCTAATTCCTCACCTCAGCCAGACTGGAACCATTAAATATACAAGCATCCATTCCCCCAGTAACCAAACGAAACATAGTTTTGGGAGTCAACTGATTTTATTCAGGCCACATACAGCTTTCATGCACAGACCCCCAACAGGGGATCTCCAATACAACATTACAGGTGATTTCATTCCCAGGGTCTTTTGTGTCTGAGACACAATTGCGTGAGAAAAACCATAATTCAATTATCTCTCATGTATAGAAAAATCTATACAAAATACACAGTACCCCAAAAGTACTCTCATCATAACTAGGAACTCCACAAAAGTTATATCCTCAGAAAGCTCTGATCTGAGTGTACAACCTGGCCAATTATCACTCAGATCCGTTTGGCAGAATTGTATTGCCACCTGGGTAAAATTTTGACCAGCCAGACATGAGGGGATAGCCCAAAACAGTTCCAGGGAAATAGGTGCCCCGGCCTGTCTCTATTCAGGGGTTCCTGTGCAAAAAACTTGCAAGGGATTTTCTTGTTTCGGTGAACGGGGAGAGATATAACTTTTACCCGGGTTCAGGTGAGTGCCTAGCCGAAAAGAGTTCCAGGCACCTAAAATATGTACATAATATAAATAATATACATATATATTGATGGTAATATATATATATATATATATATATTGCAGTACACTAAAAGGTGCATTTGGATTACAGATCAAGTGAGAAGAAGTAGCCAATAGAGGGAGGAAAAGGAGGAGTCATAAGAAATATATATGTCTATGTTTATACATTATATATTAATTTTTTTGTTACTGCTCTTCTTTTTTTCCCTTGTTTTGGTCACTTCTCACTTGATCTGTGAATAAAATAAACATTAATTAGCTGTTACCTAACCACCAATCATGGGTTTTTTGGGCAGAATGTTGAATCATGAAACAAACAAGCTTGTCCATTGCCTGTTTTGTTTGCTTTGTGATTCGCCCTTATAGCTGTGGAATTCAGACGGTTCACGATTACCAAAAATTCAGAAGAATTGCAATTCGTTTGGAACTGAATATGCAAGTCTAGTTTCTACAGTTGCTGAAATTAATATCCCAAAATATTTTACTGTGAATACAGCCATGGACTAATCAAAGTAAATGCATCTGGTACTGAGATTTATACAGCAGTGTCTATAAAAAGAGACCCAACTGGTGCCCAAACTGGTTCTATCTAGGACACAGGTAGGCCCAATTTAAAGTGTGTACATGCTTTATGCTAATTCTGATGTAATTGATTCCTGTAATCCAATAACGAAATTCAGACCAATCTAGCTGAGATAGAAAAATGTCCACATCACTGGTGTTTCCAACTTGGTTAATTTCACTGTTTAGAGAAAATGCCCCAATAAGGTGGGAGCACTTTCATTGAGCCATGCAATATCCTTTAACAGTAAAAAATACTCATATGATTTGGATTAAAATCATGCTGAGTAAAAAATGTGGTTAGAAATGTATATCAAATCTTAGATATCCATATACAAAGAACCAAATGAAGTCTTAGATATAAATATATGGCAGGGAGTATTATTTCTGCTGCTTTCAATGAAGGGATATTGTAAATTTATTTTCTTTGAATTCCATCAGGAAAATGCCAACTCACGTTCTATTTTTCTTTAACAGTAGTGGAAGAAGAACAGTCATTTTTTTACTCAATAGCATGCCCCCGGCTCGCTTTCTTCTGTAATATTGCTCTGGTCCTGAGCTTGGTAAAAGCATTGTATGATCTGTGTATTTAGTCAATTTGGAGCAGATGTGTCCCAGTCCTGAGGCAACCTTCAAAGTGAAAATCAACATTTGTGAAACTGACTGATAGAACAATCTCAACAGCTTTTCACTATTCTCCAGTCAATAACAATTAAATGTGTGGTGGCTTCTGGCCAGGCTCTTTCACATGATGGTCCACTTTACTATATGTTTTTACTCTGTTATAATATATCTGAAAGGTATGTTTGACAACAATCTTAAATGACAGAAATGTTTTCCTTTGGGAAACTGAACTGAGAATTTGTGTCCTAGTGACCCAAATAATTTACAAATAATGATAGAAAAAAAACACCATTTATTTTATTTATGTATTTTGCAAAAGCGCTCGGTTCTATCAGAAATACTGAATTGCTTGTATCTAACATTACAAAGCATGTGCTTGTAATATAACTTTCTATGTTGAGTGAGAACGGTTATATTTTTATATAACAGTGGTGACATATTTTAATACACGTTTTTGTGAAGTCTGCAAAAATAAATTAAAATGCAAAGATCTTTTAAATTTGGCTCTTTCCTGGAACTGGGTGTCACCATCATGGCTCTTTGTCATTCTTTTTTTTTTTTACTTGTATTGCCTTTAATGTAACTCATATAACTCTATAATATGTGCATCTACCGCAATAAAAAATAAGGGATGCAAAAATAAAATTAATGTAAAAAAAAAAGAATTTTTTCCCTCTATTTTGTTATACAAGCAATGCTCTAGATATGTTTTCTTATCAATGTTCTGCACATTTTTCTTAATCAAATGTTTGGTGGACTGATTACATTGCTGTGTGTGGTCTTATCTGATTGTGCTGTTTATGTGTGGTGACAAGAGTGGAAGAGATGCATCCTATTGCTCTTTAGATTAAGCTGATACTGGTGTGCTGTAGACAAAAATAGAACTCATTATCTTAACATTAAATTGTAATAATTTAAAGGGACAGGCAACTGTGAAAATTACAACAATTTTCAATTTATTGTATTACTGGTAGAGTTACAAAATGGCCGAAGAACAATTGTGAAAGTGGTTTCATGCCACAAAGTATTTTATCTGAATTAAATGAACATACTCAAGATAGTATTTTGAATACACATTTTGATGTTTTAAGTAGTTTTTTTTTATGTATAGAAGAAACACTAGTGGAGAAGGTGGCCGAAACAGATGGAAGTATTGAATTTAAAAAAAAAACAAAAAAAACTTGGACAACAAGTGTGTTTACGTCCCATAATATTTCATTGGCAATAATAAAGTGAAGGTTCAAGAACAGGGTTATTAAAGCATTTGTTCTGGTGAGTATAATCATTCCCTTCAGGCTTTTTGTTGTAAACACTGTCTTTTCAGAGAAAATGCATTGTTTACATTACAGCCTAGTGATAACTACACTGGCCACTCCTTAGATGACTGTTGGAGGTGCTTCCTAGGGCAGTGCTGCATAGTGAGCAGCACTGTCATTCAGTATCTCCACCCTCTGCATGCAGACACTGATCTTTCAGGGGCAGAGCCAGCAGCTGTAGACTTGAATACAAGTAAGATTGTACTATATTTAGGGGGGCTAAATGGTGGTTTTAACACTCTAGGGTCAGGAATACATGTTTGTTTTCCTGACCCTATAGTGTTCCTTTAACTTACACCGTATTTTGGGCAAAATCTGGTGAAAATGACCAAATATCACCTGCAATCGCAATTCTCAGATTTACTAAAGCCAAATATAGTCAAAATTAAATTGGTCCAAATGTATCTGTAACAATTGCCAGGATGCATTTAGGTTCCAGAATTAAATCAGTGATGTTTGCATACCAGGTATTGTATTTGAAATAGTCACAAAGCACTAGTTTTTCAAAATTATTATTTTAAAAAAATTATTATAATTATTGTTCACTTGATTTTTGCAGTCAGATATGATCAAAAAACAGGGGTGTGGAAATGCACTGAATCCCCATAGAATATGTATCTGGGTGCAGCCAGGCCGGTCCCAGTACCAGGAACCAAATACTTGACAATGGAAAAATAGAAAAAGGTCGAGGCACTCCAGAATACAAAGAAGGTAACTTTTATTGAACCCACTGCCACTCACAACGTTTCGACCTGACAACGGACAAAGACCGTTCAGGTCGAAACGTTGTGAGTGGCGGTGGGTTCAATAAAAGTTGCCTTCTTGGTATTCTGGAGTGCCTGGACCTTTTTCTTTTTTTCCTTTATCTTGCTTTTTGCAGTCATCAGGAATACAGTATATATTGTCGAGTATAAGTCGACCCGAATATAAGCCAAGGCACCTAATTTTACCACAAAAAACTGGGAAAACTTATTGACTCGAGTAAAAGCCTAGGGTGGGAAATGCAGCAGCTACTGGTAAATTTCTAAATAAAATTAGATCCAAATAAAATTACATTAATTGAATATTTATTTACAGTGTGTGTATAGAATGAATGCAGTGTGTGTGTGTTTGTGAAGTGTGTGTATATAATGAATGCAGAGTGTATGTGTGTTTGTGTGTAGTGTGTGTATATAATGTATGCAGAATGTGTGTTTGTGTGAATGCAGTGTGTGTGTATATAATGAATGCAGTGTGTGTATATAATGCAGAGTGTGTGTTTGTATGAGTGTGTGTGTGTATATAATGCAGAGTGTGTGTATGTATGAGTGTGTGTGTGTGTATATAATGCAGAGTGTGTGTATAATGCAGAGTGTGTTTGTATGAGTGTGTGTGTATATAATGCAGTGTGTGTGTGTATATAATGCAGACACACACACACTTTGCATTATATACAGTACATAACACACACACACTCTGCATTATATACACACACACACTCTGCATTATACACACACATACACTCATACAAAAAACACTCTGCATTATATACACACACACTCATACAAACACACACACACTCTGCATTATATATACACACACACACTCTGCATTATACACACATACACTCATACAAACACACACTCTGCATTATATACACACACACTCTGTGTGTATATAATGCAGAGTGTATGTGTGTTTGTGTAGTGTGTGTAAACTGGGTGGGGGGAGGGCATTTTTATTATTTTTAATATTTTTTTCATTTTAATTTTATTATTTTATTATAATTTTAATATTTAATTTTAGTCCCCTCTCCCTGCTTGTTGCCTGGCCAGGGAGGGGGGTTATATGATTCCCTGGTGGTCCAGTGGCATGGGCTGTGCAGGAGGGGGGCTGGCAGCAAGCTGTTACTTACCTTTACAGCAGCTCCGGTCACCTCCGTTCAGCTCCCCCGTTCAGCTCACAGTGTAAATCTCGCGATCTGCATGATGCACGGAGCATTGCCACGGTAACCTGTGGCAACACACTGATGACCGCGGGTCTCGCAAGATTTACACTGTGAGCTGAACGGAGGTAACCAGAGCTGCTGTAAAGGTAAGTAACAGCTTGCTGCCAGCCCCCAACAGGACCGCCGGGCTTATAATGAGCCCGGCGGTCCTGGTCTGTATTATGGCAATGTAAGTTTCCATAATTCAGACAGTGACTCGAGTGTGGCTTTTTCAGCACAAAAAATGTGCCGAAAAACTCAGCTTATACTCGAGTATATACGGTTTATTTGAATAACCCTGCTAACCTGCCAGCCCCAACATTAAAAAAGTTTTAAAAAAAGTTTTTAAATAAAATAAACAAAGAAGCTTATAGGGGTCAAATGTTCCCTGTATTACTATAAGGGAGGTTATAAGAGAATACCCACTGCAAGTTTAGAGAGAAGTGAGACTTGCATGTCAGAGCACTGTCAACTTGGGGATGAAGATGGGGTTATTTTTATTGTCACAGTTTAGATTTTTTGTTAAAGTTTCTTATTATCAGGTTTTGTTCTTTTCAAGAGCGTTGTATTCATTTAGCTTTTTTTGGGACTGAAAAATAGAAAATCTAGAAGAAAGAAAACTTCTTATAGGAAGTATATATATTTTTTCATTTTACAGGTGTTAGTTTATTAATACTGATGTCCATGTGTGGGGGCTCCAGGAGGGACAATAGGTACCCTCAATGAATATTATGATTAGGTTCCCACATGTCATCAGTGTTTGTGGACTGGGATTTGAACATTAGGTCCTCCCAGCTATATTATAATCACTTGCCACCAAAGGGTAGGGATTTATAGGTCTCACCAATAATTATTATAATGGACACCACCTAGCATCAATGGTTGGGGGCACGGTTGGTGATATTAGGTCCCCCGTGTTTAATAAGTAGCCATCACCTGCTGACTATGGGTAGGGGCGACATAAGTCCCCCACATTTTGTAAAATGTATTAGCCTCCACCCACCAGCCATGGGTAAGGGCAGGGGTTGGACGTTAATCTGTCCACCCTTCCCCATTTTTTTCAATTTAAATTCCTCCAACACAGATAGGGCATGGGGGGAACTATGTAGGGGCCTTTGATGAGACTGCACAGCAAGGGCTACCCAGTAGTTAGTGTTAAACATTTAGTAGATATGTTTAAAAAAATCCATATATAAATATTATTGTAAACTTCGTATTGACCCCATCTGCTTTTTAATTATTTATTTGAGCCTTTTTAATGTCGCGAATGGCGGGATGTGTGCATTTTGTCAGGAACTGAAAGGTAATTTAAAAAAATTCAATTATAGGCCAAAATAGATGAACTGAAGACATGGCTACATTGGAGATTTTTCCAATTAATATATTTTGGCCTAAAATGTAAAGTACAAATTTTAGTGAATAAACCCCTTCAGGTTTTATCTTTTCCTCTATTGTGTATTTTTCAGGTTTTTTTTTTCCCTTCTTTATCCCTTCCTCTTCTCTTCTTTCTCTGTTACCACTGTAATCTGCAAAACACAAAACGTCCTTGCTCTTTGGTTTTGTAGAATGTTTCATATGTTCCCGAACTTCCTATAAAATCTAACAAACAAATACAAACAGTATACCTTGCACTAAATCTGTAGAAATCGGAGTTGAAAAGGTCTAACCCAAAGAGTCGTTTCGGATTACTTTGTAGGTATTCATTACATCATTCTCTCCCGGAATCAGGATTTTTTATTTTATTTCCCTTTTATATATTACATCATTATTTTCTTTCAAGTCGCAAGCGTTTCTGATTCTGTGGATATAACCTAACATATATCAACTTTCTGTAAATTGCTTAATACAATCTGGATTATGTCACTCTGTGTGTACCATTGGATATACTTAGCTAGCAGGAAAACACATAACTCAATACCCATTACAGTAGGACAAATTTCATCTGGTGCATGAAAATATTATTTTTTTTTTTCAGTAACAGTGAGCTTTGGAGAGTTAATAACCGAGGTTCAAAATATAGGACAAAAGAGCCAAGAAAAAAAAAAGGTTGCATTATTCTTTCAACGATGCAAATTATAACTTACTGTACCTCATCGTTCCATAAATATACTTTATTTATCATTTTAGCTAAAACCAAATATCAGTTTGTGAACCACTATCTAACCTTCATTTGAATCTTTCAGCCTTCATCAGCCACATCCTGCTAGTGCTGAGGTTCCATTTCCACCCTGCCTGTCCTCAGCATTAAGGGTGATAGACAAGTATGATCTAATCTTCTGTGAGGTCTGTAGGTGGTATAGACAGGAAGTCCAGGGCCTGCTCTAGTGCGTATGCTGCATGATGAGAAAGGAATTGACTCTTTAATGCTATATGTCACTTTTTTTAGTTGTAATAATACTGCCCTTTGAGCCCAGTTTTCTCCGAAAATTTAATTATTTGATGTGGTGAAGCAAAGTCAATGTTTTTTTTTTTTTTTTTTACCTTCCTGACATTTGATGATGCTTCAGTTTTGATATTTAACTCTGTAGAACAGGAAGCTGAGTCAATTACGTGGAATCTTTTTTTATTTCTTAAATGTAATAGTTTATTAAAGGGACACTCCAGCCCCTATAGCTTGTAGAAAAACTTTAAGTGTGTCCTCTCTTTTTAATTTGACAAACAAGCGCAGGTTTCAATAGAAATTCGCCAGATTGGTTACGTTGCCTTTGAGACCGTATGGTAGCCCAGGAATGAGAATTACCCCCATAATGGCATACCATTTGCAAAAGTAGACAACCCAAGGTATTGCAAATGGGGTATGTCCAGTCTTTTTTAGTATCCACTTGGTCACAAACACTGGCCAAAGTTAGTGTTAATATTTGTTTGTGTGTGAAAAATGCAAAAAACTAATTAAAACGCCAATTTTGGCCAGTGTTTGTGACTACGTGGCTACTAAAAAAGACTGGACATCCCCTATTTGCAATACCTCCGCCTTTGTGCAAGGAGGAACAGGAGGACCACTGCCAGAGCCCTGCAAAATGACATCCAGCAGGCCACAAATGTGCATGTGTCTGCTCAAACCATCAGAAACAGACTCCATGAGGGTGGTATGAGGGCCCAACGTCCACAGGTGGGGGTTGTGCTTGCAGCCCAACACCGTACAGGATGTTTTGGCATTTGCCAGAGAACACCAAGATTGGCAAATTCGCCACTGGCGCCCTGTGCTCTTCACAGATGAAAGCAAGTTCACACTGAGCACATGTGACAGACGTGACCGAGTCTGGAGATGCTGTGGAGAACGTTCTGCTGCAACATCCTCCAGCATGACCGGTTTGGCAGTGGGTCAGTAATGGTGTGGGGTGGCATTTCTTTGGGGTGCTCTCCAGAGGTAGCCTGACTGCAATTAGGTACCGAGATGAGATCCTCAGACCCCTTGTGAGACCATATGCTGGCCCTGGGTTCCTCCTATTGCAAGACAATGCTAGACCTCATGTGGCTGGAGTGTGTCAGCAGTTCCTGCAAGATGAAGGCATTGATGCTATGGACTGGCCCGCCTGTTCCCCAGACCTGAATCCAATTGAGCACATCTGGGACATCATGTCTCGCTCCATCCAGCAACGTCACGTTGCACCACAAATTGTACAGGAGTTGGCAGATGCTTTAGTCCAGGTCTGGGAGGAGCATGCACAGGCATTGTAGGGAGGTCATACAGGCACGTGGAGGCCACAAACACTACTGAGCCTTATTTTGACTTATTTTAAGGACATTACATCAAGTTTGGATCAGCCTGTAGTGTGTTTTTCCACTTTAATTTTGAGTATGACTCCAAATCCAGACCTCCATGAGTTGAAAAATTTGATTTCCATTTTTTAATTTTTGTGGGATTTGGTTGTCAGCACATTCAACCATGTAAAGAACAAATTATTTCAGAAGAATATTTAAGTCATTCAGATCTAGGATGTGTTATTTTTGTGTACCCTTTATTTTTTTCATCAGTGTATATATATATATATATATATATATATATATATATGTGTGTGTGTTTGTGCTGTATATGTGTGAGAGTGTGCTGTGTGTGTCTGAGGGTGCTGTGTGTCTGAGGGTGCTGTGTGTGTGTGTGTGTGAGGGTGCTATGTGTGTGTGTGTGAGGGTGCTGTGTGTATGTGTAAGGGTGCTGTGTGTTTGTCTGAGGGTGCTGTGTGTGTGAGGGTGCTGTGTGTATATCTGAGGGTGCTGTGTGTGTCTGAGGGTGCTGTGTGTCTGAGGGTGCTGTGTGTGTCTGAGGGTGCGTGTGTGTGTGTGTGTGTGTGTAAGGGAGTGCTAGGAGTGTCTGAGTGTACTGTGAATGAATGTCTATTTAAATATATGTCTTTTTTTAAATTTTATTTTAAAAAAAACGTTATATCACCCCCCTCCCATCTTACCTTTAGCCTGGGAGAGGGGGGAGCCATGCTGCCATGGATGTGGATGCCGTGCTGCCTTCCCTGGTGGTCCAGTGGTGAGAGTGAACTCTAGCCTGCAAGACTAGAGTTCACTCTCGCAAG